ACACTTGCATGCAAAGGCCCAGCCCTTCAGTCTTCTTCAGAGGCTTCCCCCGTGTCTGTGCCTGCAGGACACAGGGCTGGGTTTTCTAGCCTGGAAACTGAGTTAAGCTCTCACGAAACAATGGATAACACAGCAAGTTCTTGTCCCTGAACTGCTTCAAAGATTACTTTTTCATTTAGTTTTCCAACAAGGTTCTCACCACTTGTAACACAATAGCTGGGAGGCAGGTTCAGTGAGAGACAGACCAGCTAAATATTCCTATGGAAACCTCATGAACAGAAGAGCACCTTCGAGATTTCTTCTTTGGGGGTGGTGGTGATATTGCAGTGCTACAAATCTAACTCAGATTAATCAATTTATGCACCCTGGGCAAACATTCTATACTTTAGATTTGTATGAAGAAGAAAAGGGTTATATTTTCTACATTATTACTAGACTGGGAGAAAACAGAAATCAGCTGCCCGATCCATAACTCTGATTAGGACCTTCCTGTGGCAAAAATGATCTGGATTAGTGGCAAAGAGAGTGTTCTTGGGAGACTCAGTACCCACACAACCCTTCGACAACACTGTTACTGGGCTCTTCACTAGTTCAATAGAACTCCCTGGGAAATCTGCTCAGTATGAAATGGGCAAGGTGCTGTTAAAGCTTTTCTGCTTCCAATTTTCAGAAAGTACAGTGCAATGTTCTAAAAATGAAAGGCACCGTACAGTGAAAACTCAGGCTACTTCTCCAGCACAGATAAATATTGAACTTCTCTTGAAAAATAAAACAAAGAAGAGAGTGACAAAAAAGCACAGCAAAACAACCCCCAACGTAGTGCTCACACTGATATCAGCTGTAGTCATTTGACTGTCTCTGTAGTGAGGCACCTTCAGTCTCAATTGCAGCCAATATTTTCTAACTGGAAAGCTACAAAACACATGCCAAGAGAAATCTGAAACAGAAAGTTGCAGAGGAAACATAATTCCTAGCTAGAAACACAACTTCCATTCCTCCTGCTGTGTAATAATCATAATTCCAGTTGTGGAAAAGATTGTTTTTCTTAATGGCATTCTAAGCTGTAGGATTAAATTCCTATCCAACTTTTTGGTTGTTGGTGATAACTGCAGAAAAAGAAAGGGTTGCACCCAGAGAGCAGGCAGAGCTTGGGATGTATTCAGCTCATAGCATATTCAAATGTTCACTGTGCAGATTATTAAAGCACACTGAGCCACAAAAGGTGGGTATGTAACTGCAACACATGTGTTTAAATACAAGGTCCCACGATACTAAATTTACCCAGATGAAAATACTGACAACACTTACCAAGATTCTTTAAGTAATTTTTGGAGTGACAGATTTTAGTTTCTAATAAGTATTAATAAGCTTAAACTGAAAAAATAAAACTGTTCTCCTTTAGGAAAAAGTGACTTTGCATCTCCTGCAGAATACTAAGAAGCTCTAGAGCCAAACTGAAAGAAGCAAACTGGCTGATAAGTACTTTCAAGTATTTTACTACATTTTTACTGTGAGTGATAAAAAGAAAGATGTAAATGCTGTAGCACATGCAGCTATGCTGGCATTATTATCAATTAATCCAAGAAGACCCACACTGTACAATGAATTCCCAACACAGGACCGAAAAGATGGCAAATGTACTGATATTGTGTTAGTGGGGAGAAACTACAACTTTTCATCTGGAAGCAGAGGGAGGGGAAGAGAGTCCTTCCCTCTGCACTTCTAAAAGAAGAATCACCAGTTTTCAGCAGCAGAAAAGGAATGGCAGAAGTGGCAGCTGAGTTTTACAGCACTCTTGGTCTGACCAGTCCTTGCTCATGTGGACAAAGTGCTGCAGCCTTTTTGCTCATTCATCATCACAGTGGATTTATTGTTCTATTTCAGCATTATTGCAGCAACTCTAGGAAAAGTGACAAGCTGGGAATCATAGGACTATGCTAAAATGTTCAAGGTTCAGATACTGCAGAAATCTTACAACACAAAAGAAATCTGTATCTTCACATAAGCACTGTAGAAATTCACACTGAAAGGCAAATCCCAGGAGTTTGTGAAGGCATATTATTCAAGTGGAATAGCTTTGAATTATGTTTCTCTTGCTGTTCAAGAAGAAGTGTCTATGGACTGAAAACTCAGCCTGCAAAGGATAGAAAAAGGCATGCAAAGAATTGGGAATCAGGAATGCAAGCAAGATTACAGAATAATGAATTCACCCAAAGGAAACTTCAGCCTGTTTCATCCAAGTTCAACTCTAGCATGGCAAGGGCTTATACCTAAGAAGGAATAGAGGTCTCCAGAAAACACAGAACTGGAGGATTGACTTTTTGTAACTAGGGAATGCATAAAAGAATGCACTTCCTACGAGGGCATATTTTAAAATACATATTCTTTTTAAAAAATCCACAAACAAAAACCCCAACCAGACAAAAACATATCCTTGATGTGGGTTATGAATCCAGCTGAATGACAATCAAACTACTGATATGTAGCAAGAAATAAATACTCAATTCAGAGCTCACTGGATGGTCTCAGCAAGGGGAGGTTGTGTACAAATTTAATCTACTTACCCACTCCTGCCAGATCCCCAATCAAAACAATAGTCCTTTCTGACAGCATCTCCCCCACTTGGAATATGCCTCTTTCCCAAAATTAAGCACAGCTTATTCCCTGTTTACAGGATACAGGACGCCCAAGACAAACAGAATGACTTTATTATTCTTATCATTGTTGCTGTACTGCACTTTCAGAAGATGTTTCACAGGACTGCTTAGTCCATCTTCCTGTCCTGAAGCAAGTTTCAAAAATAGATGTCTGTCCAAACTATCCTTATCCTGCATCAACTCCACCATATCCCCCCCGGTCAGAAAATAATTCTGTTATTTACACATGGTAAATGCCATCTTTCTTCTTGAAAATTGAATTGCTTTTTCCCCCCTTATCCTTGCAAGACTCTTATTGATCACTAGCCTCCTAATGACCAAAATAATTAAATCCAAAAACTTAACACGCTGTGGACTGTTAAATCCATGTCCAGGCTTCATCTTCCAGAACAAACAAACATAAGTCATTTAAAAATTGCTCATAGTGTATAGAGGCAAATATATTTATTTTCACTTCCCTTTTCCAGTCTCCTTTCAAATCCCCAACAATACTTTCCATGCAACACACGATTTAAGTGTAGAGCTTGTCAGTGCTACTGAGGGAGAAATCACTGCTCTTGCATGAAGAAAGGTAGGCAAAAAATCACTGCTGAAGTGTTACCTATAATTAATCATTCAGTTTGATTTTTTTGTAATGCAATTATTCTCCAGTTTGCATTTGATCATTTAATTTTGCATTCCAAATGCAGTATTTTATAATTTAACCTTTCTCTATTTTATTTCATTTTATTGATTTCAGATTACAGTTGCAGTTCACAATTTGGCTTTCTAATCCTGCCCTTAAAGTGCTTGCCTAAAACATGGAGACAGAACATGTCTTCATATAACCACACATCAGCAAGAATTAACAAGTTAAGCTGATCCATTGTCTGCATGCCTTCCACACACATATTATCTGTTCCACTCATTCTTTATTTATATTAGTAACATCAGAAGTATTTTGTGCTCTGCATCCAAGTCCCACAGGTTGCACTTATTGACCTGCTACAACAGCATAATTTACCAATTTACATCATGAAAAGACAGGGTAAGTCAGGCAGTTTTTTATGCTAAGGAAGACTATCCCCAATGTAAAAAAAAAATCCACAAAAATTGGGGTGGAGGGGTAGCCAATTATTACTGTTTAGTGTAAAAACCATGATGCTTTAGAGAAAAATAGTAGCTAATGCACTGGAGATGTTTTAAATATTTAAAAAGAATTACGTGTCATTTCTACAGCAAGAACATGATTAAAAATGGACAATGTGTTCTAAATGTTAGAATGTGAAGTATGCACAGAGTTTCTCTCTCCTTTTTTTGGGAGAAACCTTTCAAATAAATACCTTTTCCCAAGGTTATCTGCTAACAACTATAAAAAAAGTTGGTAGAACATTTGCACATATTTTTCCTTGTTCTCTCCTTCACTACTACTTTGTTAAAATGGTATAAAGGTTAGAAGGGTTTACTGCTGCTGTAGGCTCCCAATTCTTCACATTTTTGAGCCAAAATATATCCCAAAAGTCCGACTGGATACTCATGTGTTTATATGGCCGAGGGCACCACTTGACAATCTCTAGGATGAAATTAGGAAGTGGGACCACATTTTATCCTCCAGTCTTAGCCAAAATTCAGTGCTGAGTAAGGTGGTTCAGTTACAAACAAAAATAATTTTTCATACAGGTGTTGCCTTGTAATTAAGCTGGACTGGATTTACAAATTCTCACTTCCCATCATTCTGTGGCAGCCAGACAACATTCATTCCTATTTGAAAGCCCATCTTGACCTAGGAAATTTATGACAGTCTTTTTGAGCAAGACATATTCCAGCTACTTCTTCATTCTGCATCCATCCCATATTCTCTAGGGCAATAGTAACCATTCCCAAGGAAAGTTAGCCCTTAACCATAAAAAACCAGGAAGCATTCTTTCCACAAAACAAATAAAAAAGCCAAGAGACTTTTCAAGACAGTAGGAAGTCTGGTTCAAAGAGAACATCCTGGTGTTGGAAATAAAGTGTGTGTTGATGTTGCAAAAATCAATTAGCACATAGGAGGAGGAGCACATTAAATGCTTCTTGGAGAACAGTAACGTGCTGCTTCTTTTTTGTATCACCTGTTATTTTATTTTAACAAAGTAGGCCTCCTGCCCTATTTGGAATACCTTCTGCAGTCTCACACCACCTGACTGTGAATTAGAACCAGCAGCAGCAATTTCCACGGGTTGCTGAGACCAGCAGCAGCAATTATGTCACAAACTGTAGGCAAAGATCTGCAAGAGCAGTGGAGAAGTCTGGACCTTACAAAACTTTAAAGTTCTGGAGATACAATAAAGTGAGCAATCCTTAATTAAAAACAACAGAGGATACCTTAGAGCTGCCCCAAAGCAGCACCTTCAGCTCCAGTAACATTTCCTTCCACAGGCATGTTTCTTCCTGTTTTGCTCTGAAGTCAGAAGCTCCCTTCCTTTCCAAGGCCTGTGCAAAGCTGGAGAACAGCTAGTCATGTTCTAAGGGAGAGAAAACACAGTTTAGTGTATTTCCCAGGGCAACACACTTTTAATTCAGTTTTTATATTCTCTTGCAGGTAAAAATAGATCCATTCATATAATGGAAAAGTTATTTTTACCAGAGATTGTCTGGTTTTGCAGTCTGGTGTAGCTCCCTTAGTTTCAGTGGAATTTTGTGGTTTAACTCTCCAACCATCAGATTCTTGGTTCTGTTTTCCAGAGTAAGGAAGGACACTTTCCCAAAACTCAACAACAACACAATTCCAAATTGGTTGTATCTCCTTGGCAAATCCTATGCTTTCCTTCAGCCTCACACCACAGGGACACGTGACAGCACAAAAGCCAAGGTGACTTGGATTGGGAAGCAGGGCCTGTGTGCATGTGTCACCATTGCCAGAGCCTGGGCAATACAGACAAGAGCTGCCACCTCCTCCTCACATGGCTGACTATTGGTCATGCATCCTAATATAAAGCAAAACTGATTACCTGATGCAGACAGTTCCCAGTTCCAAAAGGATTTAACTTCCACTGGATTAATATAACACTGCTATCCACTGCCATTTCAGTCATCTGACTTAAGATTCAGGAACTGGAACTATTATAACTGGTAGTTATAATCCATCCACACAATTGCACAGGATCATTCACTAAGGATGGGGGGGATTTTCTTTTTTTTTTAAACATATATAGCAATAAAACCAAATTGGAACATTGGGAAAATATAATACTTACATTTATTTATCAAAACAATTTGCAAAGCTACAGTTCCTTGACAGAATTTTCAGGTTGCAGCTTACCTGCCACAGTGGAGAAAGGTTGCCTGTGTTGCAAACAGCAGTTTGTGCTGGGCTGGGCTAGGGGTGATTTCCTCAGTGGTAGCTAGGATGGGGATATGTTGTGCATTGATGACACAGGGATGTTTCCATCACTACTGAGCAGTGCTTACACAGAGTCAAGGCCTTTTCTGCCCCTCACAGCACCCCCCAGTGAGGAGGTGGGGGGCACAAGAAACTGGGAGGGGACGCTGCTGGGTCACCCCTGGGGATGGCTGAACACCTGCCTGCCTTGCCTGTGGGAAGTGGTGAATGAATTCCTTGTTTTGCTTTACTTGCACACATGGATTTTGCTTGACTTATTAACCTGTCTTTATCTCAACCCATGGGTTTTCTCACTTTTACTCCTCTGACTCTCCCCCATCCCACTGGCAGGCTGTGAGTGGCTGTGCAGGGCTCAGTTTCCAGCCAGGGTTAAACCACAACACAGTTGGTCAGGTACAAACTGACTAATGGTTTTACAGTTGCTGGACATCAATTAAATTAAAAGCACTCAATGCAATTTTCTTCATCATTACTGATTCATTTGCATGCATATGTCCAAAAAATTCCAATTTCAGTACAGGTGCATTATGTTCATTTCATATTATGTGCACTTTAAATATTTACTTTCCTATGCCTTCCTCAAAATTACACAATGAATAAGTAGGAATGAAGAAGTTATTCTAATATTAGAGCAAATTTACTTTTGGTTCCTGATGTATCCTACTGGATTGTACCTCTTCTGAAAGTTGGAGTTTTTCTTCTTCAAATATTCCCTTTTATTTCAATTTATCTCAACCAAAAATGAGCAACAGAGAACAAACAAAATATGACCACCCAGTGCAACAAAGGAAATTCAACAGAAATTATTTACAGTGCCTGCAGTGGTGCAGACATTTATATGCATTTATTTCATCTCCTCCACTCAGTAACTGCTTCACCTCTACACTAAACTCTCTGCTTTGGATCCCAAGATTGCAGTTAAAATCCTCTCAGGCATTTCAGCTGTGGAAGTCACATGGCTGAGGACAACACAACACCACAATGTTCCAGTATCAACAGCCTTCATAGTTCAGAGAAAGCAACTATGGAGAACTTCCCTTCAGCTTTCTGAAGACCATCAAAAGCACCTCTTGGTGCACATTCTGCAGAGGAAGCCACTGACTGGAAGCACGGGTGACAATTCATCTCTACTCACTGCATATCTGTTTTAATTTACAGTTGTTCCATATCCTTAATTAAGTTTTTAGAAATCCATACATACCTAAAATATACACAGATTTCTAGCAAAACAGATGAGTAATAATACTAAAGGTTGTAGTACAGCATGTCCCACCCTCTTTCCTAAGTTACATATGGAAAAAACCCTGAGAGGAAAAGCTCTACTGAACAGTAATTTGATTTTGGTGAGAAATATTACCACCATCCCATCACTGGTAAGGAAAAAAAAATCCTTTCTTTTTAGAACCACTGGAGTTAAATGACCTGTTTTTCTCCCGACAGTTGAAATAGAATTAAAGGTCTAAATACAACTTTACTTAGATCTTACTTTCCTTAGCACCACGACCTGCTCTCCGCCCCAGCCCACCCACACTGCGGGGTGTGGGCAGGCTGGTCCCCTCAGCACCCAGGCCGGTCCCCTCAGCACCCAGGCCGGTCCCCTCATGCCCAGGCTGGTCCCCTCAGCACCCAGGCCGGTCCCCTCACAACCAGGCCGGTCCCCTCACACCCAGGCCGGTCCCCTCATGCCCAGGCCGGTCCCCTCAGCACCCAGGCCGGTCCCCTCACGCCCTGGCCGGTCCCCTCACACCCAGGCCAGTCCTCTCAGCACCTGGCCGGTCCCCTTATGCCCAGGCTGGTCCCCTCATGCCTGGGCTGGTCCCCTCACAGCCTGGCCAGTCCCCTCATGACCAGGCTTGTCCCCTCACGCCGGGGCCGGTCCCCTCAGCAGCTGGACTGATCCCCTCACACCTTGGCCAGTCCCCTCATGCCCAAGCCAACCCCTCAGCACCTGGATTGGTCTCCTCATGCCCTGGCCAGTCCCCTCAGGCCCGGGCCGGTCTCCCCTCAGGGTCTGGGTCCCCTCACGCCTGGTGGGCAGGAAGGCGCCGCGCCTCAGGCAGTGCCTGTGCATAACCCCTCACAGTGCCCTGTCAGCGTGAATTGAGAACACCTGGAACTCCCGCTTCTGATGAACTGGGCAGAACTGCTCCTAACAGCAAAGACGGAGGGTCAGATAACATCAGGTCACCTCCAGAAAGGTTCTGGTGTGGGTTTTCTCCCTCAGGACTTCCAGGACTGGATGCGGTGCTTGATGCCGTGGTCTGGTTTTGCTCAAAGGTGGTGGTGTTTGGTCAAAGGTTGGACTTGATGATCTCAGAGGTCTTTTCAAACCTTAACAATTCTGTGCTTCTATGACTTCACTTACAGCGAAATTACAATGAAATCTGCAAAGAACTGTCTGTAGGGCTGCTCTGGTTGTGTCAGAGCGGAGAAGAACCGATGTGACCCTTCATCAGCTCCAGCAGAAGATCCAGCTCGGACGGGCACATTCCCGCAACATCCAGGACATGGCTCTCACTTGTGCAATACAAACACATCTTGGGGCAGTCAGGGTGTTGCTGTCACTTCTCAAGGGCTCTCACACAGGTTATACAACTTTCTGCAACTTGGTTATATTGTGCCCACTCCTAAATTTGTGTAAGGATTTCCTCAGTGTGCTGTACCCTTGTTGATGCTTGCACTTAATTCCCAAGAAACTCAAGTACAGATCAACCAGATGAGAAATAAAACATGTCACATAAATTCATCTTGAGTTACTTTATTTTTCACAATAATAAAAAATAAATTAGTCATAAACAAAAATAGTTAACATTTTTTCATCAAAGAGAAAAAGTATACAATATGAAAAGGATACTGTACAGTTCTGGTTCAGGTACATTGCCACAGATACATATTCCTGAACGAGTCAGAAAGCAATTTGCCTATACTCTCCCCTTTAATTCACTCAAGGAACTGGCTAATCAGAAAGTTTAGAAAATTGTATTATGGATTTACAGTATGACATATATACAAAAAATATATATGTAATACCTGTGCTATAAAATTCCCTAAAAAGCTGGGTTAGTATAATGAAAAAGCTGGACAAAATTTGAATGGTATATGTAAATAAATACATATTAGGTCCCTTTTAATAAAAAAATCTGCCTATTCTAAATATTTGAAATATTTTGGCGCAGTGGCTTGTTCCATAGACACAGCTCAGAATTACATATTTCCCATAGACATCTTGTATTTACAAATAAGAACAAAATAAGTTATAATAAAGTATATCCTTCTGCCCAAAATCAATTATGAGGGTCAAGTAGACAATTTTATACATATAAAAAAAGTTAGGGTTTCTTTTGTCTCCCGTCCTTCCTGATCTTCTATGTAGATCCTGAGTGACTACTATGGGACTTCACAACTTGTATGTACCCAACCCCTGCCAAGGCCACTGGTCTCAAGAGACCCAAAGGGAGCATAGAAAAACAGGTCAGGGCAAGCAGCAATGACTGTTGCTGGAAGGTCAATGATTTATCACAATTAAGCTTCCCTCCTCTCCAGGCATGGTGGTAGTTATCTGTATCCCTTTATAGTATATGGGGATATAGAAAATTGGGAGCTCTCATTCTTAAGAACTTCTGGCTGTTTAAAGCTGAGAAGCAAAGAGCTGAGTTCAGGTCTGCTGTGAGTTCTCTTACATGGAATTTTCTCCCTTTCACCAGGTCTGAATTTTGCCCACCCTACTGAGATATTATAATGATCAGAAGTTTAATTTAAAATATACTGAAAATGCTTAGTGGATGATTTTTCATTTCTGGTGTGGAAATAATTATTTTACTCCATTTTCTAAGCAATGCCTAATTTATCTCCCCCAAACATTCTGTAAGTTTAGACATAAAGGAAGTTTACATTCGTGTTCAAAATGTCATGTTTTGTGTTCGAATTACAGGTGTGCACATAAATTATCTGCCCAACACACAGAACAGCTCTGAAGAAGTCAAAAACACTAAGTCTCAAGAAGACCAAGTAAACACACAGCTTTTCCTTTGTGACGAGGATAATCCTTTTTTTTATGTGATAAATGTTACTTATGAGAATAAATGGCCACTACATACTTCAAAACCTGTGCAGTCACAGGTTCATTGCATGGGGGTTAATTCAGTATGTACTTTACTACTGTGCATTAAAAACTAGTCAACGTGGATACACACAGACACAAAAGTCCCTGGGCTGCCAGGAATATAGTTTTCTTAACAGCTGGGCTAATTTCTAACACTGATTCTTACAAACCACAAGGCCAGCTCAGGGCTTTCAGTAATTCTGGCAAAATTTAAAACTGTAACCCAGAGGACAAAGGGATGAAAGTGAGATGAGAAGAAGAGGAGAAGAGTTGGGGGTCTGGGTGTAAAAGGGAGACAGGTCAGGATGAGAATGGGGAAAAGCAAAGCTCTTTAAAGTATATTTTACTACTTACAGTGGTATAGATTATAAAGAGAGAAAACAAAGTGTTTCCTTCAGGAAGACATAACCTCTCCTATACCAGCCATAAGCTGTTTGAGCCCCTACCTTCTTCCTCCCTCAGTGGTGACTGGCACTCTCTAGGACTCAGACACAAGCAAAGGAAGTAGCAAGGTCCTCGAAAAGCTGCTGCCCCATGTGGTCTTCTGTTCAAGTAGTTTAATGTACTCCTTTGAGTCTGGGCTATAATGACATATATATATATATATGACTGATATATAACTGCACAATATTGTCATAAAACCGGGATCTAACCAATAACATTAATGTTAAACACTGCTTAATTCATACAGAAAGTCCTCCTTTTGCTGAAATACTGGGGAAAAAAAAGGAAAAAGATTATGAGTGTAATGAAAAAGAAGCCAGTTCCCTGTGCAGGGATGCTGAAGCAGCCCTGCATCCAGCCCATGGCCATACATTACAGCTGGACTTCAAGGCTGGCAGGCCTGCAGGATCCCCCATGTCTCCTGCACTGCACTCCCCAGCTCTTCACTGCCTCCCAGCAAGCCCTTCCCTGATTCAGAGCCCTGGGGACTGAAGGTCAGTCATCAAAGCAAACATTAACTCTGTCTCATTGCTGGCCATTCCCACAGGAGCAACCCTCATGCTTCCACACCATCTTCTGGGAGAGGAGGGGAGAACTCCATGAATTCAGTGCTCTCAAACTTGGCATGTAACTGCACTACACAAGGAATTCTACCTACATATGCTTGAAGGTGACATTGCACAGGAGCTGGCAAACCCTGATGGGCCCTGGATAACCTGACAAACAACTGCACCAGGAACCCTCAGTTCCAAAGGGAAAGTGCTTGGAGACACACAGCCTGCTCTGGATGGGGCTGATTTTGGCCAGCTGCACATCTGTAAACCATGAAAGCTGTAAGCAGCGGGACTGCTTAGACTCTTTAAATAAGCCATCTAACTCACTCTGGTCTTCCTTCATTGTGTAAGGTGAAAAGCTTCAAGGCAAGGAAGCATATTTTTTTTACACCATTCTGCAAGATTTTGACTGATGTTAAAATGTCAGAAAAAGAAACTGAAGCATTTAAAATCAGAAGTCTGCATTATTTCTTACTTCTATTGGGTTTATATCTGCTCTAAGTCTACTACATTCATTAAAGCCACCTTTGACTTAGAGCAAAAGTAAAATCAGGTCCTTCTGCAGGCATCACCCTAAGTGCCTAATGGCACTGCTCCATTAAAACAAACACTTGCTACAGGCACAATTCCGAAGTGTGCTTTGCAAGATGGTGGAATCTTAGCCCAGCACCTACTCTGTGCAGACAATATTAGTACATCAAAGTGCTGATAAAAAGGGCTTATTAGTTCATTTTGCAGGAACGACTATTTTGATAATGCTGACACACGAGATGATAAATGATTAAGTTCAGCAGCATTCTGGCAGTTTTCTTACCATTAGATGTTTAATTAGGTGAAATGGTATTTTTTGTTATATCTGATACATCTGAAAACTGTCTCTTTACTTAAAAAACCAAAAAATGTACAATTTGTATAATCATAGCTCACTGCATTTAATTCACAAAGCCGTACCTATTAGGTGTGTTACAGGGTTACACTGCTATGTGTAACCATATATTCTTTGATATTTAGCTGCCAAGAACTCTGTTTACTTTAGTGGCAGCTTAATAGAGCCTACAAGATGATCATCTTTGTCAAATAACCTCATGGCCATATATTCCAGCACAAAATAACATATCTTATAAAATAGGAGGATCTCATGTCTGTGTGCTGAGTCACACACAGCCAGAAGCATGTGTAAGATAATTTTCCATGGACTGACTGCAAACCTGATTAGCTCTCTGCATCTCCTCTGCCTTGGGGTTTTCAGGAAGCCTTTTTATGGAACAGGTATTTCCCTCAAGCTGACAGGATACACTTCCTTGGGACAAAAGAGATAACAACAAAAATTATACGATGTATGTCAAAATTTGCTGCAATGAGATACACAGATGAAAATCTGTATTTAGAAATACTGGATTCCAGAGTTGTTTACACTGCACTGTCTCCATAACATTCTTTGGTCGAGAATCTAAGGAATATAATATCATCACAAATCTATAAGTTATCTTCATGGATAAATCTTCATAATACAAGGGAACGGGACTGTAAAAGATTCATGAACTCAGAAGTTTTCTAATTAGCATTTCTGTTTCTAACAATTTTATATAAATTATTTACAGTAAAAAAGCCTAAGCTAAGGTGTACAGAAACAGCCAAAGACATGATTGGTTTATAGTCACAAAGACTAACTTCAAATTCTAGGGGAAACACTTTTTCCTTTAATTTCCTTTAGCCAAACAGTGGTAGTTCATCATGTCTAAAATATATTTATCACGAGTGACCGAATCAAAAAATTCAAAGGTTTGTCTCAATTCAAGGCAGCTTTTAGACTACAGGAATTCCACCTTCCTGTGGCTTCCAGCACAAACCCTGACGTGACCAGAACCACACCCAGCAACCTTTCCCTCCCAGAGCTCCATTCCCTTTCCTCGTCCTCTCCACCAAAGCAGTAAGAAGAAAAGAACACACAGTGAGGCTCAAACATGGTTCTGCATCAGTAGCAGGACATCTTAACCACTGTTATATCACATCTCTGGGAGTGACTGAACATGATTGTCACGGCTGTTTTTCAACTCAGACATCAGGCACCTTAGAAAGAGATGCATAGTTGAGCATCACTAACTTACAAAAAATATGCTGTAATAAACAGCCGAATAAGCAGTGGTGTTCATTTTTTTCCTTCAGCCTTATTTACACATTTGAAAGACCTCTCAAGCAAAGGCTAGAGAACCTGCAGATAATGCAAAAACTGATCTGCCCTGCACAGCACACCCTATTTGCTTTTAGCAAGTCCCAAGGCTGAGTACAGTAATTGCAGAAATGAAAAATCACCACTTAAATTCAGCTCTTAGTCTGCAGCCATTCTTGAGTAACAGAAAAGGAGTAGTATAAATAGATCTGTGTGATGAAACATTAAGTGAAAAAAGGCAAATATGTTGTAACAACTGATCAAAACCTGAAGAATGTCAATAGCCAAGATCTCTTGACAGATACTCAGGTACTACACTCACACTGCTGCCTGACACCACGAGTAACACAC